TGAGAGAGACCTCCCCCAAACCTTGCCCTCTCTGGGTTCTACCCCAAATATCCAGGAATTTCCCAACCTGGAGTTGGCTACTGTAAGGATTACCAGCTATCTCATCGTGGCTAGATACACAATTGTTATGTTCAGTGGGGCAATCGTGGACTCCGGAGGTCTGCCTCTGGTGGGTCTCTCCCCCCCCCCCCTTCTAGCTTGAAAAGGTGGAGAGGCAACATTTCTTAAATCACAAGTTGGGAATGTTTGGCATGGAGTAGTAGTAAGCATATTTGGGGGAGACCCCTGAAGCGAGGTGCAGACGTCTTAGGCTTTGGATCCCAAAGGTAGCCAGACTCCTTTCCTGAGCCAGCCGGAAGTTTTGCGGTGTATCAGTGGTTTGGTTTAGTGGTTAACTGTGCGGATTCTAATCTGGGAGGAACCGGGTTTGATTCCCCACTCCTCCGCTCGCAGCTGCTGGATGACCTTGGGCAAGCCACAGTTCTGTCAGAGCTGCTCTCTCAGCCCCACCTACCTCACAGGGTGACTGTTGCGGGGAAGGGAAGGGATGGGAGTTTGTAAGCTGCTCTGAGACTCCGAGTGAAGGGCAGGGTATAAATCCAATCTCCTCCTCCTCCTCCTCCTCCTCTTTTCCTTCTTCTTCTTCTCCTTCTCCCCCCCCCCCAAGAATGTTTGGAAAACCGCCTTTAGCTACACAGCTCTGTAGACCCTCATTTTGTTCAAGTGTTGTTGTTGTTAATCATAATAATAATTTTTAAATTTCTGAATCACCCCATCCGTGAGTACACAGGGGGCTGGGCGATTGGCAACAGGCTAAAACATACAAAAATACAGGTTAAAATCAACAATCAATTAGTCTTAATGACACAACCTCCAGGTGGCCTCTGTAACTTAACTTAAAAACCTGCTCTGAGCTGTTCTTCTGTCTCGTGGCCAGGTGAAGGAGGAGGACGAAGCGGGCGAAGTCGGAGTAAAGAGGAGGGTGCCAGCTATGAGGGAAACTGTTGCTGTCCTCAGCCAAAAGCCTTGCGGAACATCTCTGCCTTCCAAGCGGTATTCCCTCTAAGCTGAGTTAGTGCGAGCTAGCTCATAGTTCTTTAGCCTCCGGCTCACGCATTTTTGTCTCCGCTCAGGAAGGAGGGCTCCAGAGCAAACTGATTTATGCAGGAGCCCAATCGCTCGCTCACAACTTTAATGCCAGTGGCTCACAAAGTAGGATTTTTGCTCACAAGACTCCACAGCTTAGAGGGAGCATTGCTCACAGGCCCTGCGGGATTGCATGAAGTCCCGCAGGGCCCTGACGGAAGTCGGCGGAGAGGGTGTGCATGCAAAATCTCCCTTCTGTTCTTCACCCACCTAAAAAAGCTTTTGGAAATCTAGTTCGCTTTAGCAAACGGAGGCAGGCTGTAACGATTCCTTGTTTCTGTGTGTGTGTGTCTCTTTAAAAGTTTGGTTGCATGGCTGTGGTAGATAGACTAGAGTGGTTGAGAGAGGAAAGTGTGGTATGATTGGTGGCTGACAGAAAGGGGGAGGGGCTTTGGATCTGGTTGGATGAGTATGTGAGTCAGTCAGTAGTTTCAGTTAGATGTTGACAGTTGATGTTCAGTGAGTAGTTAGACAAGCAGTTCTGTGTTGAAGCAGTTATAAACTGACAGCTGAGATGGTTCAGTGAGACAGAGAGAGAAAGCTGAAAGTTGAATGTATAGGAAACAGTAAAGTAAAGTTTAAGTGACCAACAGTTAAAGGAACGTCTGAGTGTCATAACAGACTGGAGAGAAACAGTGAACACATATGGCATTGAGATAAACAAGTGTTACGAAGTTATATGAAAAGATCCCTGTCAGTGAGAGAGAAGATTGTGTGGGATACCAAAGAAATTGTTCAGTATTTACACATTACTAGTTACATTGTACTACCCTCTTATTCATGCTTTATTTTAAAAAATCCTCTTTCATTCAAGTATACCAGCTCTGAAAGAAATACTTCCCAGGACCACATAGTTCCTCGTAAGCCTTGAACTCGGTCTACCTAACCAGTAAGAGTAAAAGTAAAAGCATAAAGGTTTGGAAATCCTTAAAATTTCCTGGTGGCAGCAGATTCTACCCTGTTAAACAAATTAAAGAGAACTTTTAAAGAGAAACCAGTCCTCCCCAATAAGGAGGACGTCACACAGGCATTCTGAGCTTTTGCGCTAGCTAGATGGGCCTATTTATCTGTTAATTGATCTCCGACCTTTTTCCCCAGTGGAGACCCAAAGTACCTGATATTGTTCTCCATTATATCCTCACAACAGCCCTGTGAGGTGGGTTTTAGGCTGAGTGTGACTGGCCCGACGTCATCCCGCAAGCTTCCATGGCAGGAGCAGGGATTCGAACCTGGCTCTGCCAGATCCTCATCTCTCTGCTATACCATGCTTGCTCTCTGCCTGGCAAGTAAGTGCAGAGTCGGGTCCAGGAGCCAGTCTGGTGTCGTGGTTAAGCGCACGGACTCTAATCTGGGAGAACCGGGTTTGATTTCCCCACTCCTCCATTCGCAGCTGCTGGCTGACCTCGGACAAGCCATACTTCTGGCCAGGGGTCATTTAGTAGAAAAGGAGGTGCAGGAGCTCATTAGCATAACCAGCCCCGTAGCTAGGGAATTCTTTGGGAGGGGGCCTCGGGGGGGGCACCAGCTAATTAAATGGAAGTACAGTGCAGGTGATAAGTTGGAGCATTTGGGGGGGCAGCCCAGGAGAGAGGGGGCCCAGAAGAAACACTAGGGGGCTGGGCCCCGTGGGACCCATGTTAGCTACGGGCCAGAGCATAACTCATTTGCATATGCCATGCCCCCTGACATCACTGGAAGTGTGTCAGAAGGCAACACCCACTGCTCAGGCTCCACTGTACTGTTTCGCATTCCTAGCTATTGGGGAGGGGAATGTGCAGATCTGCCCTCAGAGAGGAGGGAGAGCTTGTACCTGAAGGCGGGCCGGGGGGGGGCTCTGCAACTTACCTGGCTGCTTCTTGCTCCTCATGGCCCGACTGAGGGCTGCTGGGAGCAGGGGGTGGGG